ATCGAAAGTGTTTTTGACGAAATAAATGGAATCTTTGTAGAAATGAATGATCTATTTCTGAATTGTTTCGAATATAATAAACTACGGCATACAACACACGTGACAGACTGCAAATGGATAACAAATATTAAGTTTTATAATTTAAATAAATTTAAACAGAATGAGTTTAACATTAAAAGATTTCTTAATAATTTTTAACAAATTATTTTATAATTCTTTATAATCTGTTTGTAACCTCACCTTCATCCAATTTAATACTGACGTCATCGTCTTCGTTCTCCTCATATATTATTTTTTTGACCAATGAATGCTTCTCTAAAAATAAAAACTCTTTCTTTAAAGGTCTGTTTTCACAACTAGTAGTTTCCAGAAACCAGAAATCACCCTCCTCTTCTTCATCGGAATTCTGTAAAAAGTAAAAAAGTTTTCATTCCTAATAGAATAATCTTACAGTAGTCGAAATGTTCTTTTATTACTCGGAAAAAACATCATTTATTAAATAATAAAGAATTTGCAGCCATTACAAACAACACTTTCTATAACATTGTGCATTTCTCGTGTTGTGTTTTTAGTTTTAAACTTGTAGATGATGAGAATTATTAAATTATTTTTAATTATTTGCATTGAATTGTAACTTACAGAAGACGACATTTCTGTTTCTTCCGGAAAATCTGCATTAATATCAGATGTCAGTCGCAGGATTGCATTAACTATATTTTTAAAACTATCTTCCGCACTATCATCCTTCTCACACGTGGAATATTCAATTGTATTTCGTACGTCCATTTGAAAATTATAAACTAGACAATAAAAGTAAACGCAATAAACACATTAATTCGTATAAGTTTTTCGCGTGAATTCAATAATTACATAAGAATTTGAAAGAGAAAAACAAAGGATATGACAAACAGTTTACACTAAATAAACAGATGAAATTCTTATTGTTGAAACATATTTTGGAAATTTATTCCATTGAAAATCCACAAAAATAAAACAAAAATTTAGCAAAAGTCAATTTATTTTTGTCATAAATATTACATTGTGATTTAATATTATTAATTGTGTGGGAAGTGTACATTGTTACAATCCGTAAAATCAATAATTAATATGCAATATTGCTTACTGAAGAGTTATTCGCGGTGAAGTAAATGATAAAATGTTTATTAATCGAATTCAATATTGAGATATTGGATAAGATCAGAAAATAAAATAATAAATTGTTATTTATTTGAAGAAAATACGTTAAATGATATAATTGTCTTAAGAAGAAAATGAATGCAAAGTTAAATGTCGTGAATGTCACTTAGAATACGTTCGCCGTTCACCACATTCTATTGGGATTTTTAAACATCTGATCGAAAATTACTCTTAATTTTATGTTTTTATATTCATTTTCGACACGTTAGAAAGCAGTTAATATAATTATACAATAAAAATTTACTTTAACTTACTTACTTTCAAAAACGAAAATTGCATTCGATAGCACCGAACAAAAAGCGCTTCGACAATTGCCGAAAATCTATTATTACTATCTATTGTTTACACAGCAATTAGAAACGTGCTTACGTCATGCTAATTACAAATTGTGCTTAGAAGTAATTTTATTCTTGAATTTTTTTATGTTTTTGTTTTTTTATAGGTAATTACAAAGAAAGACGTGAGCGATTTACCTAGGGAAATGTTTCTCGAGAACATCATTTAGACGCAATGTGGTCCTTACTTATGCGTTATATTCGTGAAAAAAATTTGTAAAACTGTACGCTGCCAGTCCATCGATAATATGTGAAAGCGATTCGCGTGGTGGAAATTTTATAACTAAAATCTCACAAGTTTTTCATTCATAAAATAGAACTTCTTTCATGGCGTTGATGCAACACAATGAGAGAAGTTCTATTTTATTTTAAAATTTCTTCGCAAGATTGGCAAATTCTTTTCTGCTTGGAAACATTACGTAATCTTTTGTTAACACGTGCCAAATTGCTTGACAAATTTCATTAATGTCTGTTTTCACAGTCATTAACGAAAGAGGAAAAGTGTGAAATTGTGTTCGGATCGGAAACAACGTAATATCGAACGTTTGTTTAGTTTGTGGCCGCCAGCGCCAGAGATCACGAACACTGTCTGGCAACACTTGCTAAGAAGAGTGGCTGGTAACGTCGGAAAGAAAAGGCGCGAAAGTTCGTTGGTTTTGTCCGGGTGTTGTCCGAGGATGTCGGTCACAGTTCTGACCTTTCTAATAAAGCTTTTTTGTTACTGTTCATGTTTGACTGCTTAATGTTAGTTCAAAACATCAGTAGGATTGAATGACAAAAGTTCAAATTCAAAATGGAATTTAGAACATATTTATTGAATTTTTTAATATTTAAATCCTAAATTACTGTTATAATTTAAATTAATATCTCCAAAAAATTAATGCTAGAACTATTTAACATTCAAGATTGACAATTGTCCGATAGTGTTGTAATTATTACAACGTGTTTTTACTCGTTTCAAATTTATTTAAGGTTTCTGGCATTAACGCATTTATTTCTATGTTTAAAACATCTGAATCTTGTCGTTATTTGTGGCTGTAGAGGGTGAGTGTACTTCATTAACGATTTTAGATTTCTTTCAAATTACCGAAGTTTCTTGTACGTACCATTTCGGATTGCTTATAAAACCGTGTTTTCTTTCTTTTTTCTTACGTCTCATTCGTGTTGCTCGAATCTACTTTTTAAATTTTACTCAATTACTCAGTAAAACATACGCCGTTTTTAAACTAAGCTCTTCAGTAACTATTGGAATTTTGTATACTCGTACTTGAGTTTCTTCTGGAAGTGGATCCTTGTCGTTTCGCACTATACTATATAAATTAGGAGCTCTTTTATATACCATGTATGAGTTATTTTGTGTGAAAACCCCTCCGTTATATGTGTATTCATTTGCAAAATGTATTTAGTTAAAGCCTCAAATTATATGTCAGAATAATGTGTAAATGAATATATACCCTATTTAAAATTATTAAACGAAATCCGTGGCTCGAACTCGAGTTAGTCACAGTTCTGGCATATGATTTTTAATTTCTATAAATAAATTCGCCACGACTCATTTTCAATATTTTATTATTTCAAAGATGTATTATGCTACAACATGTTTCTATCGACAGAATAATGTCCATCGTCGAGGATAAACTATATTCCTCTCAAGTCTTACAAGTGTTTGTTCTGTAATAAATTAACAAATAAACGGCGTTTGCTATGATAGAATAGACAATTCTTTTCAGTTAATACAGCAGACCCTCTTATAACACGGGTTCCTATAATTACGATTTTTATAAGACGGCGAAAAAATGCGACGGTATTCGTAAACAACGGTAAAAAAAACTCTTAAAATTACGTAAAACGTCATCGGGCAGCCAAACTACTTTTCGCCGTCCAGCGCCACGCTACGGAGAATTTAGGCGGGTAAATTGAGTTTATCATCATTTGTACAGTACAGTATTATATATAAATTAGGTACTGTACATATAATTATATTTTAATTATATATAAAGTAGGTACTGTATATATAATTATATATTAACTTAGTTTATTATAACTTTATTATAATTATATATATACTTTCTGCCGTCCAGTGCCACGCTACAGAGAGTTTAAACGAGTAAGGGCTGTTTCACACTATGACCGACTGGTTCGACCGGTCCGACCCGACCGATTTTATAATCGGACCGACTAGTAGTAAAAGCATTCAGAGTGTGTACGATTATATGTCGGTGGCCGACTCATAAGGACCAATCACAACGCGTGTTATAGATCAATAGACTAGCCAATCACGGTAAGTTTTTCAATATAAACAGAAAACATGGCCGTCTTGGAAAGCGATCGTGCATTTCGAATTGTTTTAAAACATATTTCATTCGTATCCAGAAATTGTAGTTCTGAATATGCTACAATTTATCGTCAGGCCATATCTTTGGCAACAATATCCATTGGAATATTTTATAAACAGCACAGAGGTCATAGACAGTTAACGAACCTCTTTGATAAGCGTTTTGATAGCAAATTTTTAAAATTTGCGAGAAAAAAGTACATAGCGCTTTTAATAAGCTTAAACAAGTGCATTATTAATAACGATGTCGAAGGTGTCAAACGCTTTATGACAGAAATAAAGAGAAGTGCAACAATTTTGCTGACATATAAGAAGTTCAGCATGAAAAGAAAGTATTGGGTTCGTCCTATTTTATTGGAGCGAGAGGAGAAGGGAGAATATAGAAGTCTTGTACAGCAAATGCAGATATATGATAAATCAGGATACTATATGTATTTCAGGATGAGTCCAGAATGGTAAGTTTTGACACTTTTGCAGTCCATGTTTAACTTATTATTTATTTCAATCTTATTTTAATCTAATAAATCGTTAGTGTATAATCTGAGATACGAGTTTATATACAGACTACTCAAATGTAAAGATTGAATAATTCTACTAACTGAAAATATTTTGCTAAATGATTTAGTTAGTTTTATAATATAGCGTTTTTATAAACGTTAGTTCATTTGCATAAACTATTGAAGAATGTTTTTGTAATGTTAAAATTTGTTTTTTTTTTACGTTGCACTTTTAAAATAATTTTATATACCAAAACAATCCACCTCAAAATTTAGAAACACTATTATAATGTATTTAATTAAAACACATTTCATGCAAGCCAGATAAAGTTTCCATTAGAAGAAAACTGTAGAAATTCTTATTCTCTTTCAAATGAATGTCTAAAAATTTTCACAAAAAATTAAAATTCTGTAATGTCAAAATTACATAACATAAAAATTGAATTTATGAATGACTTTCAATAATATTTATTTGTATTTTTAGATTTGATGAATTTTTGAGCAAAATTGGCCCACTAATTACATNTATTCAAGCTTCTGTCGGTAAGGAGTGTTTTCCATTTGGTAAATGCCTGCCTGGCTTGTTCGATTCTGCTCTTGATTTCGGTCTCGTGATTCAGCTGGTCATCAATTAGTACTCCAAGATACTTGAAGCGGTGTACCTGCTCCAACTTTTCGTTATTTAATTTGATCGTGATTTCGCTAGGAGTCCTGCTGACCTTCATCACCTTTGTTTTCTTTTTGTTGATTCGTAAACCCCATGCTTGACTTTTTGTGTTCACTTCATTCAAGATAGTCTGTAAATCTTGTTCGGAATCCGCTATTAATGCTGTGTCGTCGGCATATCTTAGGTTATTGATGTAGTGTCCATTAACTTTTATGCCGATCTCCCTGTCGGCCAGTGTTTGGTCAAAAATCATTTCCGAATAGATATTGAAAAGAATGGGAGATAATGGGCAGCCCTGCCGGACGCCTTTTTGTATTGGGATTGGGTCTGTCAGGTCGTTGTCATAGCGGAGCCGGGCTGTTTGATTCCAGTAGAGAGTGGTGATAAAGTTGATATCGTTAGTTTCAAGCCCAAGTTTTCTCAGTTGATTAATTAGGCGGCCGTGGTCCACTGAGTCAAAGGCTTTCTCATAGTCAATAAAACATATGTACACTTCTTTTTGATGTTCATAGCACCTCTGTAGCAGTATTTGTAAGCAGAAAATTGCCTCTCTGGTGCCCAGCCCCCTGCAGAAGCCAAACTGTGTGTTTCCTAGTGCACGTTCGCATTTACATCTTATTCTTTGCTGAATCACCTTGAGGAAGACTTTTAGCACCTGGCTCATTAAACTGATCAGCCTGAAGTCTTCGCATTTTCGGCTGGTAGCCTTTTTTGGTAGGGCCACAAAGATTGATTGGAGCCAGTCAGATGGAATAACATTGTT